CCTGGCACCAAAGCAGCAGTTCTGACTCCCCATGTCATACTTGGGATCACTTTCCATCTCGCAAATATTTAAGCAAGAGTGTGAGGGCCAACTGCCAAGTTGCACAACGCAGGACAAATATCTCATTGTGTTTGTCGCTGCACAGTATGTGGTGGTGTGAGATCCAAAAACCACCCAGTGACTGCAACTGGAATGTGACAGTATTTTGTAACCAGAGTGGCTCTTTCTTTTTATTTTTTGGGGGGCCACTTTTTTGACCTGATCCAAAATCCTGAGAAAAGGTGGCAAAAAAAATACTCAGAAAGGTTCTAAATGGGTTTAGAAAACTCGTGAACTCTGTCTGAACTTTTATTAGATGCTCCCACCACTGGCCCATTTGACATTAGAACAAGGAGAGCATTATTTATAATGGCATGTGTGAAATCTCAGAGGGGGGTTCTTGGAAACATTAGAGTGAGAAATCTGTCCCAAAGAGACTGCAAGTGTAAAATAAATGATCAGATGGAAAAACATGTAAATCAAAATTTCTTTTTTTTTCTTCTCCTTTAAAGGACACAGGAGCCTTTTCTTTGACCATGAGCAACACAGGGCAGAGAACCCTTAAGAGTAGGTGTTGTAATGAGAGGTGCCCCACAGCATTGGTCATTGCCAAGGGAGGAACGTGGGAAACCATGAGTGTGGACTCTTCTTAATGTGTCTAGAATGGCTGCTTCCCATTGAGAGAATTAGATAACAAAGGCTCCAGCAAAAGAAGCAACACCTAGAAATCATTTAGTGCATTAAAATTCATAAAAAGCCCTCACAAATATTGTCTGCTTGAGTATTTAGCTTGTGATAACCCTAAGAGGTATATATTGTTTATTACCCACATTTTATAGTTGGAAAAACTAGGACACAGAGAGGTTTGGCAACTGGTTAAGTTTATCCAGCTAGGAAATAATACATGGAGTAGTATGTATTGGAGCCCAGAGTTTCATTTGTGGCATTTGAGTTAGTTCCCAGACCAGGGATCAAACCTGTGCCCCTGCAGTGAAAATGCAGGGTCTTAACCACTGGGCCACCAGGGAATTTCCTATTTTGCTTTTTAAATTGAAGTATACTTGACATATAGCATTCTATTTGTCTGGTGGTTTAGTTGCTAAGTTATGCCTGACTCTTGCAACCCCATGGACTGTAGCCCACCGGGGTCCTCTGTCCATGGGATTTCCCAGGTAAGAATACTAGAGTGGATTGCCATTTCCTTCTCCAGGGGCTCTTCCTGATCGAGGAACTGAACCCTGGTCTCTTGCATTGCAGGCAGCCTCCTGCATTGCAGCAGGTTCTTTACTGACTGAGCCAGCAGGGAAGCCCTTCTATTTGTATACAATATAACTAATTGATATTTGTATGTACTGCAAAATGACTACCACAAAATAAATCTAGTTAATAATATCTGTCTACTTAACATAGGTAAATTTTTTGTTGCTGTTGTGATGAAAACTTTCAGGATCTACTTTCAAATATGCAATATAGTATTATTTACTATAGTCACCATGCTGTACATTGTAACCCCAGGACTTATTTATTTTACAATTGGAAATCTGTACCTTTTGGCCCCCATCTAAATTTATGAGTTGAGTATTGTCCACTGCACCACAGCTGGGATCACATAAAGAATACAAAAGCCTGACATCTTCGTAGTTTAATGTGTCCCAAAGTGGGATTTGTACTGTCTAGTTCTAGGAATGTATGTAAGTGGCTCTTTCTCTCTCTTTCTCCCCTACAAAAACACATTTAAATTAATTCAGTTCCCTAAGTTAAACAAAGTTAAATCTATTCTTTCTGCAAAACTCCTGGTACACTTCAAGGGAATTCTGTTCATTATGGATCTTCAAGAAATGAGGACGGTTACAGATTATGGTATATTTGACACCTCTGACCTAGGAACACATGTGGAGTGTGTGTGTGTGTGTGTGTGTGTGTGTGGTCAATTGTGTCCAGCTCTTTGCAACTCCATGGACTCTAGCCCTCCAGGCTCTGCTGTCCATGGAATTTTCCAGGCAAGAATACTGGCCATTTCCTCCTCCAGGGGATCTTCTCCACCCAGGGATTGAACCCATGTCTCCTGCACTGGCAGGCGGATTGTTTACCACTGTGCCACCTGGGAAGAGTCTGACCCAAGAGCAAGTGTGGAGAGCTAGCTCTTAATACTTTGAGGGTCAGGTATCCAAAAGAACACCACACTGGTCCATAATATCCCTGTCTTCTCTTTACTACCACAGACCAACTATTCATTGGATGTATTCTTGCCTGGAGAATCCCATGGACAGAGGAATCTGATGGGCTATAATCCATGGGATCACAAAGAGTCAGACACTACTGAAGCAACTGAGTATGCATTATCTGATTTCAACATTTTTCTAATTCTAATTTCAATATTTCAACTTCAATATTTTCACTATTCCCATAAAAGATAGAATTATATCTTTTCACTATAAAGGTAGGCAGAGACCTCTCACTACACGCCACTCTGCACCACGTAGTTCTCCACCCTGCCACCCACATTGGTGCTGGGTGTGGGCTGCCAGCACCTGGGGGCCCATACCAGCTTGGTGTCCCCAGTGTTTGTAAGTATCTGAAAATGTTGGTAGATTTCCTTTCCCTAAGTCCTGGGTACATGGGGTTTCAGGGTTGCAGAGCCGGGCAGATATCCATCAGCCAGAAACATGCCCATGTGGCTGTCCCACTATGACCACCAGCATCCTTTCTGCTCAACCTGGGTGGTAGAGGTTGTGTTTTAGACACCAACCCTGGCGGTGAGTACCGTCATCACTTACAGACATGTCCAGGCAGCTCCAGTGGTCATTTAACAGTGACTACCTGTTCCTGCAGAATGAGGAAAGAGTGATGAAATTGGAATCTGATGGAAGGCAACAAGCCCACACTTAGCACCTGAACTTTTGATGCATTTAAATCCTGAAATGTAAAACTACAGGGGCACCTTAACCCTGTGCCAGCAAGTTATGTCTCCACTTGTCAGACTCCTATTCTTTGTACAGAGAAAGGGGGGCACCCTTTCACATGTGTGCTTTGTTGGCTAATAAGAGCATCATTTGAAATTACCAAACAAATTAGACATCTCTGACACTCTCTGCTCCTTGGACTTCAGAGTGGAGCACATTTTTTAGGCACTGTTAGTCCCTTTCCTTCCCTTAATGAGTCAGAAATGAGAATTATTGTTGTTGTTGCTCAGTCATGTCAGACTCTTTTCGATTTCATGGACTGCAGCACTTCAGGCCTCCCTGTCCTTTACTGTCTCCTGGAGTTTGCTCAAAGTCATGTCCATTGAGTCAGTGATGCCACCCAACCATCTCATCCTCTGTTGTCCCCTTCTCCTTCTACCTTCAGTCTTTCCCAGCATCAGGGTCTTTTCAAATGAATTGACTCTTCACATCAGGTAGCCAAAGTATTGGAGCTTCAGCTTCAGCATCAGTCCTTCCAATGAACATTCAGGGTTGATTTCCTTTAGGATGGACTGGTTTGATTTCCTTGCTGTCCAAGGGACACTGAGAACTGTAATTGGGCAGAAACTAGTGGCATTGGTCTCAGAACTCAGGGGCTGGCAGTTGTCAGGGAAGTCTAATTCCTAAAGTCCTATGAACTCACCCACTGCCCCAATGTCAGCTTGGCATCTGGGCAGGTAGTGCCAGGGTTCACCAGCATGAAAAGTGGGACCTGCCACCCACAGGCCTATGGAGAATAAATCTGATCTCAGTTTGATGGGCTACAAACCTGTACATGGAATTCTTACTTTTTCTCCAGGAAGTAGGAAATAATAAATCTCTTCGGTCAAAGTTTTTTCGCCTGTGCTAACGTTGTTGCCATGTAATGCCTCAGCCTTGGCGTTTTTTATTAAAACGGGCTTTTCAAAACCCATACTTGTCTTTGAGTCTAAGCTTGCACTCCTTGCTGCACTGCAGGCCAATAATTGAGATATGAGTCGTTGGAGCAAGGAATAATCATTTTATTCAGAAGGCCAGCAGACCAAGAAGATGGTAGGCTCATGCCCCAAAGAACCATCTTGCCTGTGTTAGAATTCAGACTTTTTTATACTGGAGGGGAGGGGATAAAGTCAAGCATTTCCTGGTTCCCATCTGCCTCTGGAGGGGTACATTAATTTCTTCCTCCCAGCAGTGGAGGAAGGGCCTGGTCAGGATGTTTCATGTGAATTAAACAAAGGTATTTTAGCTTAATGCTCATTAGCTGGGAAGCAGGATTCCCAGAGATGGGCCATTATGTATAATTTAAGTTTATACCCAGCATCCCTTTAGTGATTAACTTATAATGGAATACAAAATAGTCTTCCCTATTACACACTTACCTATTTACTTTTGTAAATCACTTCAGTTGAAGTGCCATAGTAAAGTCTTGAGCTCAAAGGCCTGATTTCTTTGTGTCTATAGCAACCTGAACCTCAGTTGCTCATCTGTAAAATGGGAATAGTCATTTCTGCCCTGACCATTCCTGGGTTGTGACAAGGATGTTCAAGCCAGCTCTATGTGATCTCCTGACCATTTAAAGCATAAGGAAGCTGTGGCTTTGCTAAGGAAACAGAGTCCCTTGGTGGGTCATTTTGGATCCTGAACCCTCGTTATCCTGGCCAAGGTTATCTTGTTAATTAGATAATCAAGTCATTCTCATATGGAAAATATGTGCGTTTGTGTTTTATACAAGATGAGTATCCACCCAATCACAATCTCTGACCCTATATGGTTTTGAGAAAGAGAATTGCAAACAGTGTGAGAAAAATCCCTTTGACCACTCTTTGCCCTCTGTCTCTGTTGCTTGAGAGGATAAACAAATTGTATTTCCCTTCTGCCTGATAAACAGTTAAAATTAATAAATACAAATAAAGGAAAGGGGGAAAATGCACCCCATCTCCCTTCCACACTTTTCCCCCTGATGATGGGAACTTAGTTTCCAGGTGACTGATGCCATCCTGCTTACCCCTTTTCTGCCAGGTCGGCGGCCACACGATGCTGCCCATCCGCTGGATGCCCCCGGAGAGCATCATGTACAGGAAGTTCACCACCGAAAGTGACGTCTGGAGCCTGGGGGTCGTGTTGTGGGAGATCTTCACGTACGGGAAACAGCCCTGGTACCAGCTGTCGAACAACGAGGTGCGTGTGTGGCGAGCAGCACCGAGATGCCTAGAGGGTTGACACCGAGAGATATCCCTGGGCTGGAAGCTGGGAAACCCTCTTCTGTGGCATCCCTGAGGCTTTGTTGGGAACAGCACCTCCCCATGGCCTGCCACGTACCTAAGTATCACGGTCACTCTCCAAACGTAAGAGTTCTGGAAAGAGAAAAGCACAGCATTTGCCGATGTGCCTGTGATTCTCTGGCGCGGGGATCCAGGAGTCATTTCATGCTGTTCATCTAGGAAATTGAGAGCAGATGTGGCATTTTGGCACCCTGAGAGTCCGGCTAGCTTTTTGGTATTATTCCAAAAAGCTTTCAAGCTTCTCTCCTTTTTTGCACATTTCACTGGTACATTACTTCTGGTGAAAAACTCAAGCATTTTGTTTTTCTTTTCTAATCCTTTTGCAATTATGTCTATATTTAAACATTACTTCTCGGTCAGGCACCTCACTTCTTCAGGTCCAAGTCTGTCTTTTATCCAATTCCATTATCCAAAATGACTGCTCATTTCTGTACCCTGGGACTCCCTGGCACAAAAGTGACCCTGGTTCTATCTCAGGCCAGTACAACTGAAACCCATTGGAATTCCAGGGTGTGGTTTGGGAGGGTTCCATCTAGATAAATTATTTCTCCACCACTTTGGTGAAATCAGTGTGACTTAAAAAATGGATATGAACCCATCAAATTAACCATGATATTCAAACCTAGGACAATTGCTCTCTTCCTTCCAAAAAAAAAAAAAAAGGAAACACTGAGTGGGTTTCTTTAAAGCAACCCTCTTTTTGCACTGACATCTATTGCATCCACATTATTCTTCCTCTGGTCTGACCCTGTCTCTGTGCTCCATTGCATCCAGGTGATAGAGTGCATCACTCAAGGCCGCGTCCTGCAGCGACCTCGAACGTGCCCCCAGGAAGTCTACGAGCTGATGCTGGGGTGCTGGCAGCGAGAGCCCCATATGCGGAAGAACATCAAGGGCATCCACACCCTCCTTCAGAACTTGGCCAAGGCATCTCCAGTCTACCTGGATATTCTAGGGTAGGGCCCGTTCCCCCAGACCAGCCCTTCCCAAAGCACTTCCTCAGTTGGGCCGAGAGGATGAACACCTTTTAACTGCCGCTCGATGCCATCAATCCGCTGTTCTTCGCTCTGACACTTAACAACAAAGACACCGAGAAGCTTTCCGAGGGAAGCGACGTGTACTTCTTAGACACAGTATGGGCTTCTTTTTAGCATTCTCTTTCTCTCTTTCCATCTCCCTTGGTTTATTCCCTAGTTTTTTTCCCCCCTTTATTTTTTGTCTTCCTTGCTTCACATCCTTCACCTTTTCTTTTTTAATCAATCTGGCTTCTGCATTACTATTAACTCTGCATAGACAAAGGCCTTAACAAACCTAATTTGTTATATCAGCAGACACTCCAGTTTGCACACCACAACTAACAATGCCTTGTTGTATTCCTGCCTTTGATGTGGATGAAAAAAAGGGAAAACAAATATTTGACTTAAACTTTGTCACTTCTGCTGTACAGACACCGAGAGTTTCTATGGATTCACTTCTATTTATTTATTATTACTGTTCTTGTTTTGGGATGGCTTAAGCCTGTGTATGAAAACGGAAAACTTGTGTTCAATTTGGGAAGCCTTTATCTATGGGAGATTAAGATCAGAGAGAAAGAAGATTTATTATAAACCACAGTAGGTGAAGAACAAAGACACCATTGGAATCTATTGACGTCAGTTTCCACTTACGAAAACCCAGCCACTGGTAGCTGGGAGGAATGTATCGGGCACCTTCCCCCAAGGACCTTTCTGAGGAGTATAAAGACTGTTGAACTCTGTGCCATGGACTATTCTTTTCCCATCACCGGAAATGCTTGAGTGTAGTACAGAGAAAATTGGCTTCTGCGAGGCAAGATGGCACACACACGTTCCGACAGTCTCATCCTTGTAGGCCGTTGTGGTGGCACTGGTTTGTTTTGCCAAGTGTTATCCACAGAGCCTTTGTCAAGTTCAGGTGGATTCTCGTCCAGAGATCATTTCAGGGTCAGATGGGAAAGCCACTGACTTGGAAAAGAGAGGACAAGCTCTAAACTCGGAGGCAAGTTTCTCTTACATTGAACTTTACAGACAGCACTTCCCTCGACCCCTGCCCTCCACCCCACCCGTCCATCCAACTGTGCAAGCAAAACTGTGCATGGTCTTCGTCAATTAATACCTTGTGTGCATAAACTACCGCTCCAGACATCGTGCCCCTGATAGGTAGAGCAGATCCGTAAAAGGTATAACTTAAATAATTATGGGAAGTTAATTGAATTCATTAGCTGAGTATAAATGTCTCTGGGTCGTATGGTGGTGATGGGTTGTTAATAAATATGAACCCTGAAACTTGGATATCCTCAATGACATCGCACCCACTGTGGGGCTGGGGGAAGGGCAAAATCAGCCCCCAAGGGAGTGGAAAACTCGCCCACCCTGGGGTGGCATTGATGTTCAGTGTACACAGGCCGAGACCTTGCTCTGGGCTCTGGTTGGGAGAGTGGTTTCATTCTAAATGTCCTCCATTGTCAATAGGCCGTTTTGTTCTTTTCACTGCATTTTAAAAAAGTAAAAATAAAAAATTAGGCACAGCATACCAATGGGAGGCTATGCCCAGACTGAGCTTTGGAGGTGTACTTCTGGGCATAGTCACGGGTTTTGCAAAAAGAGGTTGTAAATTTAAATAGAAATTTACAGTTACCTGGGTGATCAGTTATACCAAGGAAGAAAATTTTTTCTGTTCCTCAAGAAAACTTGCTACCCTCTGTGAGGGGAATTTTGCTAACTTGACATCTTTATAATATGAGCCAGATTGAAAGGGAGTGATTTGAATTCAACTTAGGTCATTTTATTTCATGTTTGTTTCTGAAGGTGCAAGTGCTCTGTTTAGGTTTTGCTTGTGCCCTTAATTACTGGAGCACCTTATTTTCCATTATAGGCATTGAAAGCCAGTTCTCAAAAAATCAAGAGTATCCGTTAACAGAGAACGAAAGGAAAGCCAGTAGTATCTGCTGTCATATGAAGGGGGTTGGACAAGACAAACCCCATAGTCCTTTCAAGTTCTGCACTGGCCTGTGAGACATGGGAGCTGAGTTATTGTTCTCTTGGTTGGTGACAAAAAACCCTCCGGAACACACACATAATAATATAACGAAAGCCATATCTCCATGATATATACCTGCATGTATATATCCTATTAAGGACCCATAGTACTGTTAAAACACTGTGGCACCCTGTGAAGCAGTAAGAAGAGGCAGGTGTGTATAAAACTTCTCTAGATTTCATCAGCAATGACCTGAAAACCTCCACAGGTTCGTCATTTTGTGCAACTGGCCAACTGCTCTGGGGGAAGCAGCTACAAGTTACTTGTTTGATTTTGACAGAAAGCAAAGGAGGTAATACTTGAAGGGTTCAGATTAAAGGAGGGCTGTGCAGTTTTGGAGTAAGGATTTGTTTAGAGCGGAGGAGAGGAGGGAAGCATTCCCCTCCCCTTTCAGTGCTGTGTTTTCCTCTGAAGGAAAAAAGAAAAAAAAAAATTCTCCTTACCTTCTGACTCCCTCAAGGTCTTGAAATGAAAGGTTCTATGCAAGTGCAAAGTTTTATAGTTATTTATATTGCTGCTTATTATTATTTTTTTTCCTCTGTTGTCTCAAGAGTATGTACTGACTGCAGAGACGTCTCACATTGAAAGGATCCCAGATTGCTTTTAAAGTAGCCGGACGAAACACAAACTATCTTCGAGTCTCCACCCTTGTTCCTCCAGAATCCTCTCTTCTCATGCTTATGATTTTAAGAAAAGGGCCAACCTAATTCAGCAGCACAAAGGTCACAGAATAGGGCCTGCCATCAGATTCGTTAAAAACTACAACAGGAGTGGTGACAAACCCGGTTCTCTAGCCTGAACTTCGCCTGACACTTCGCCTGACAGTTGTTTCCATTTATACATTGTTTCATAGTTTCCCAAGCATTTTTTTCACATACGGTGACAAATTATTCCCATTTTTTAGAGGTGAGGAAATTGAGACTTGGGGAAGTTAAATGACATGCTAGAACTCTCCAGGCACCCCTGGGACTTAATCTAAGTACTCTTGACTCTGAAGTTCATGATTTGGTCCACGAGAGACTCTCATATATAAACAAGCTGTATGAAAGAGAAAGCTAGCTAACAAATTCATGAAGTAGGATATGAAATTAGAAGAGCAAAATGAATTATGTGAGATGCAAGCAGCTGAGATCTCATGATATATAATCATCTTCATAGCTTCAGCTAAACCTTTGCACACTGAACCAATGTCATAATCAGGCTTATTTAGGAAACATTTTGAACTAGGCTATAAAAGTTGATATCAGAATTCACAATATGTGTTCGCATCAGCGCTCCCTGTGATATTTCCACGTATTTATATGTGTGTTATAAATACTTGATTTATACATAGACAAACACACATGCATAGTGTGTTTGTGAGCTTATGTATAAATTTATAGGCACACAGTAATAGACATAATTGTAAGTAGGGTGCAGTATGAATAATTTGCTTAAAATCTGCTGAATAACCAAAACCTTTTTAATGTCATGTTGCTGGTAGTGCTTCCCTTCTCCATGTGGGTAGGACCCCATTACACTTTTCAACTCTGTGCATGGGTGGGAGACATATTTAAGATAATGTGCTTCCCATAACAACTGAATCGAAGCCATCCCACTACATCGAGTCCTTTTTTCTGGCTCTTTGCAAAGGAAAATGCAGCTAGAAATAGATCTCCTTATGTAAAGTTCCAGAAAAGGAAAATTTGTTTTTTTTTTAAATCCTTTTGCACATTTATTTGTATTATGCTCACCTGTCCCACTGAAAACCCTTTACACTTGTCTTCAGAGGCCGAGCACTCCAGAAGCGCACTGGAGTGTAGGGAGCCCAGTGTCCTGAAGGCCAGTGCTGAGATCCAAGACCCCTCTGCAAGGTGAATTCCCACATCCTAGTGGAACACGAGAGACAACAGTGTACAACGCTGGCCTTCGCAAAGAACCATGACAACAGGATCCCCTGGTCAGGAATAGACTTTTTTTTTTAAACTTTTCCCTTTTTACATTGGACCTTCTATAATACCAATAACATGAAATCATGTATCTAATTAAATAAATGACTACAGACACACATACCCTCAATTTTCTTGCTCTTTCTTTCCTTTTTTTCTTTTTTCCCCATTTGAGGACTTTTTATTTCCCATGATGAGCCTCAGTATGGCCCTATATCACTGTTACAGAAAATTTCATGAGGGGGAATGCCAGAGACCCAACTCCTCAGATGGCTAAGTGAGTAGTTAAAGCAGTTTCTTCCCAATCCGTGATGGTAGGATGCAGAGACTCTGAGGTTGAGACAGCAAGTGATATTCTAATGAATCCACAGTGGGAGGGACTTGGAGAGAAATATGAAGGGGTATGTTCTTGTTGTCAGGGCTGGAATGGATCACTGCTGCTATAAGTCAAAGGTTCTCGAATATCCTTTGTTTTTGTATTTTTTCCCTTTTTTTCTTTTACTTTTATTTATTTATGTATTTATTTATTTATGTATATATTTCTTTGCTCCATTCATCACAGACACAAAGAGAAGCAAAAAAAAAAATATATATATATATATATATGTATATGTGTTGCAGGCAAAACACTGTGAATTTCACAAGAGCAACCAAGCAACTCTTTGCCATCTTAACATTCGTCTCAGGAGACGCAATGGGAAAACATGAGATACCATTTTTTTTTAGTCTATGCATTTTAGGCCAGGTCTGTGTTTATTTCTTTGGTCTGTACATTAATGAAAATGATCCTGAGTGAAGGCTGAATGTTCAACATACTGGCGCAAGCAAAATAAAAGCTGCTAATTGCCACAGGTTTGAATTGGGAGAAAAAAATGGAGAAAATGAAATGTAAAGGCCTACATCTTGCAGGTTGTATGTCTTACTGTTGCTTTAAAAATGTATAAAACTGCTGGAAGTGTTTCAATATGAGGTCTT